CTCCTGCACAATATGGCTCCTCTTTCCAAATTCGAGCCCACCAACTTGCTCCCTGCACTGTCTGAAAGAGAGCAACAGTTTCCCTCCTTTTTCCCCCCAAGGCCTCTTGGGAGTTGTAGTCTCTAGGCTAGATTGCAGCACAAAGGATCCTCCCAGTAAAAGTCAGAGGCTCCTATAGTAAAGGGATATCACTCCACTATTCTAGAATGTGTTGGACAGCTTGTGTTTGGGACAAAGGACATACAAGCCACATGGCAAAAGGAATATAAAAGGCAGCTTTTGCTTCTCATCTCTGGAGTTACCTTTCTACAAAGGACTAAATGAGCTATCCAAGCAGTGAATGTGTTCCATAGGGACTTTAAAGCCAGCAAACTCACCTGTACTACTAGGAACCTGATGGACTTTGAAGTTATTGTATGTATGTGACTGACCACAACATCTCACCTTTTTTTTTTCTTTATAATAAACCTTTAGTTTTAGACATTTAAGGATTGGCTGGGAGCATGGTATTTTGGGTAAGGTCCAAACCTGTACTCACCTGGTGACATGGCTGATCCTTTGGGATCAGAAGAACATTTTGTATATATGAGCAGAGTTTTTAAAAATAACTTTTCACTGTATGGACCTAGGTGCTGACTGAGTCACAGAAGTGGAATGCAATAAAGACGGCTGTGTGATCTCTCTTTTTGGCTTCTTGATAACCAGGGTGGAAGATCAGACACACAGTTTGTGACTGGTTGGGGAGTCTAATTTCAGTGTTACCCACCAACATTGGGAATATCAGCTTTCCCTTTTGCAGCCTGCCCTGACCTTGGCATTGCCACTAATGTCTGCCCCAAACATCCAGGGTCACAGAATTCTTATCTGTACCTTCTGCGGGTCACGTCCCTGAAACCACCAGCCTTTAGTACCAAAACCACTATCTCTGAGGTCTCTGCAGGCCTTGTTTCCTTTGTACAGACATAGGCACATACCAGTGGCACAATCCAAGCATTTTCTGTAGTATTCAGTTCCTTATCCAACACACTGAACTCTCCTAGATTAATCAGGCCTGCTGTTCCCAAAAGAACAGTACACACCTACTTGTAGGATTCAAATCAGAACAACCTTTACTTATCATGGGCTACGTCTAGATTGCATCCCTTTTTCGTAAAAGGGATGCAAATTAGACGTATCGCAATTGCTAATGAAGCGGGGATTTAAATCTCCCCCGCTTCATTAGCATAAAAATGGCTGCCGCTTTTTTTCGGCACGGAGCTTTGCCGGAAAAAAGCGCCAGTCTAAACGCGGATCTTTTGGAAAATTAAGCCTTTTCCAAAAGATCCCTTATCCCCCTTAAAATAAGCGAAGAAAGTCAGGGTGTCTTCTTTGGTGCTGTCATTGCAAAACAGACTTTAAAAAAATAAGAATGTTCTTAGACAAGTGTCTCTAACAACTCTAACTAATGCTAGAATTTACATTATTGATACAAATTCTCAGTTTAGCTCAGGAATTATGTTGTTATAGCTTGTACCATTCTGGAGTTTAAATGCAAATAATTATGTTTGTCTGTGTTTGACCTTTACAAAGCTAATCTGTCTATCTTTCTACAACAACTATCTTTCTACTTTCAACGCTTAATAAAGAGTTGGATCAAGAGAGAAAGCTTTTCCCTTAGCAAATCTCATCTACCCTTATATCAAGATATGAGGTGATCTTGTATAGATGCAACCCTAACCCCTTATGGGACACTCTGCATAGAAAGCCCTCACCCTTCCAAGTGGTTAGTTTATGTACTAAAATTAAGTATCTGAGTCCTACACTGAGTATTTTTAATTGCACTAAAAATCTGAATTGAGTGAAAATTGCCTGAAAATCTGTCAGTGCCTCTACCCAGAGGGTGGCAGTATTAATTTCAACATTCAATTGCTTCTAGAAATAAAACTGTTTCAGGTGTTCTGCTTTCAACACATAATCACTAAGAAGCAAAATCAACATATATTTGGCAAGGAAGTCTAAGCCAATCCACAAGTACATATAAAGTGCTAGAGCCAAATTTACAGTAAGGATCACCTCAAATTTTCCAGGTTTCCAATGGTATTCTTTATAGGCCATTATTAATTATGCCATTAATATTTTGCTGCATGGTCAGGTAGTACTAATTTCACAGTGCTTTCAAAATTAAACAAAATTGTTTTTAAATATAGAATAGGCATTCTGACAACATGAACAATCAGGAAGATGGAACTTGGGTGCTCGGTGTAGTATACACAATATCAGGGAGGATCGACTCATAATTCTGAATTATCATTTTAACTTAATCAGGGCTACTCAACTTTGGAAGCCAGGGAGTCACAGTGATACTCACAGCACATGCGGAGGGCCGCAACTTGAGTGTGGTTGCATATACATGCACCTATATGCAAATAGCTTAATTCACATTGACGGGCATGAATACGAAGATTAAGGCAAAACTACACAACACACAGGCCTCATTTAAGTCAGTTCTGCTGATATTAATAAAAAGCAATATTTACCCGATTTCCACCCATAAGATAGCACTTTTAATGACCAATGACAGTCCAGGAATTTAATTACTAAAATGCATATCAACAGGAGACTATTATATTGACTACTTTTTTGCTTTAGCTCCCCCCGCGGGCTGCGTGTTGAGCCCTGCATAAACCCAAACTGCACTGCAGGCCGCAAAAAAACCAGCTGCATGTTGAGCAGCCCTGCTTAATATGATAGTAATTCTAAGCATACATACATTACATTACATCTTCAGAACAAGTAGTTCCAGGTCCCAGATCCACAGCCTCTCAGGATCGAAGCCTTTCCCACCCGTGGCCTTGTCCTTCCCCCAATCTCCTAGTTTAGACTTCATCCCAGATTTTTAATGGCATTTAAGCACCTAAAGATGGAGATAAGACATCACATGGGAGTTTCAAGTGTGCCCAGAGGCCGAACTCACTGAAAGCAACAGAAGTTATGTGCCAAGGTTCTTTTGAAAATTCTACTAGTTGTCTATCTATATCTTTAAGAACCCAAATGTTTTTAAAAATCTGGTCCCTATGCTTCTTCCTCTTTCTTTGCTGCCATTTCCCTAACCTTCCATAGAAGGCTTAGGCCTTATATGCATGCACAAGTTGCACCTCTTTAACTTTCATTGATTTTAAACCACTTTTGTTAAACTGGTACAAACCCCTGTGTAGACACTCATTTTAATTTCACAGTTGTTTATTGGGTTTTAACCTAAGTGATTTAAGCTAAACTGAAAGAAGACTGGATCTACACAGAAGTAGGTGTGTCTACCGGATTTTCTGCACTCATTTAACTCAACAGATTGAAAACCACATCTTAATTTAAACTAGCATGACTTTCTCATGTAGAATCTCATCTTTTGCATTCATCCATTTTTAAGAGAGTAAGAATTGTCAAACTGCGTCAGCTCCAAGGTTCATTTAGTCTAGTGCCCAATACTATCCACTTCACAGGAAAGAGCAAGAACCCTGAACTAAGGAGCTATAAAATAATCTGACCCCCCACATTAGGTCTCATTGTGATCTCTAGTAGTCATCTATTGGCTTAGCCAGTGTTTGTCAAGGGCCACATTTCTTGGTCAAGGTCCGGGCTCCAGAGAAAATAAAAAGATGTTGGGATCCGTTCAAAAGTGCAGGACGGTTGAAATTTGTCCTGAGCCCCCTGTGCACCATCCCACACCTATAGGCTACGTCTACACTGGCACCCTTTTCTGGAAATGCTTAAAACAGAACAGTTTTCTGTTATAAGTATTTCCGGAAAAAGTGTTTACATTGGCAGGATGCGTTTCCAGAAAAGCCCTTTTTCCGGAAAAACGTCCGTGGCCAATGTAGACGCACTTTTCCGGAAAAAAGCCCCAATCGTCATTTTCGCGATTGAGGCTTTTTTCCAGAAAAGACTACTGGGCTGTCTACACTGGCCCTTTTCCAGAACAGTTTTCCGGAAAAAGGACTTTTGCCCAAGCGGGAGCAGCATAGTTTTTCCGGAAAAGCAGCTGATTTCTTACAGTAAATCGTCAGTGCTTTTCCGGAAATTCAAGGGGCCAGTGTAGACAGCTCGCAGCTTATTCCGGAAAAGCAGTGTCTTCCATGCCTAAGGATGTAGCTTCATTGTAGTAACATGAAATCAACCTTACTCTTACAGCCATAATGTCTTACTTGTACTGTCCTATCCCCCCCCCCCCAAAACCCTGCCCCCCCGGGGTGCCACGGGACCTCTACGACATTTCAAAGCCACACGGAGTCCTGTGGCACCTCTAAGACATTTCAGTGACTTTCACCCCGGTTGGCGGTAGCGGCCCCCCCACGAGGCCACAGGCAGTTCGCCAGTG